CAGGGCCAAGTTTTTAGCTGATTTATCTGATTTTAGAAGATGAAGCGTTTTTACATTTTTCCTATAGCTTTATTTATGAACAGACTGCCAGGCGCTTCTCTGATTCCTATACAGTATCTGTTCTAATCAGCTCTACTTGCTTTGGGTAGTTTTATAATTGTGGAAAAAAAGCATGCGATTTTATTCATTCCAGACTGTAGGGTATAGTCAAGGTGTTTCGCTGGCATTGCTGAAGATGTAGCATCGCCAGCCAGCAATTTCTAGCATTTAATAAATCCAGAACTAGAACACTAAAACCCATACTGGCATGTAGCTTAAAATTTATAGTCAGGCTAAAGCAAATGCTAATTATCTGTTACCTCAGCTAATGTTACTTGCCTACTCACCGCATAACTTTTTTTCACCAAAACTTGACCATCACACCTACATGAGCATGTTGGACATTGCAAAACGCTAGGAATTAATATGTAATGGTAACAGAAAAGACATTTTCACTGCTCCAGAGTGCAGCGGTGCCGTGCTTTACACCACTCCCGCCAACATTCTGCATTGTGCATAGTGATCATAGGCTTGCGTGCAGCTGCTCAGCCATGGGAACCCATTTCATGAAGCTCCCGACGCACAGTTCTTGTGCCAATGTTGCTTCCAGAGGAGGTTTGGAACTCTGTAATAAGACATACAACAGCAGACAGGCGATTTTTACGTGCTCCAGCACTTGATGGCCCCACTCTGTGAGTTTTCATGGTCTAGTGCTTTGTGGCTGAGCTGCTGTTGCTCCTAGACACTTCTGTTTCACAATAATAGCACTTACAGACCACAGCAGATCTAGCAGGGCAGACATTTTTGGCAAAGGTGGCATTTTAATGACAGTGCCACATTTAAAGTCACTGAGCTCTTCAGAATGACCCATGGCTATGTGCTTGAGTTTATACAGTTGTTAGCAATGGGTGTGGCCAAAACACCTGAACTCAGGAACTAGGTGGGGCGTCCACATGTTTGGCCATATGGTGTCTTTTATCTTTTAGCTTGAAAACAGCAAATTAGTGAAGACAATACCAAACGTGACACGTTTCCTAGTTTACGGATAAGTTTTGTAGTTGTATTCTATTAAATCTATAAGTGTATGGCTCTACAGTGCCCTCTGGTGGGGTACTTCATGATTCTTACATGTGAGACTGTATAATATTAGAGAGTTACAGTTATGTTTATCAAAAACAGTGATTTAGTGTTCAGTTTTTACACTTTTAGGACTGTTCAAAAATGTAAAAGTTTTAATTCTAGAGCCAAAGCCAATACATTTTGGTTATATTTACAACAGCTGCCCCTCCCACAAATAAAGTCCCGTGAATTTCAAGGTTTACTAAATAAGTAGTGAAAATACAAATAATGCTACATACGCATTTGTCATCACTAAGCTAAGTGAAAATAAGGCTACTATTATAACCATACCCTATTACCACAGATGACAATCAGCACAAATTAAATGTGCAGGAATGTTAGCCTGCATATATACTGTCGCTGTCCAAAGCAAAACAAGTATCTTTAAAATGGTAACTTTACAGGAGAGGGCAAAAACGCCCTTAACTTATAATGTAAGTTAATGTAAAGAGATTTTGTTCTAATTGATTTGGGGGCATTTCTGTTGGACCAATCATCATGAAATTGTCACACAATGTAAAGGAAAACTGGTGTGTTCAAATGACAGAAAAAAATCAAATATGAGATATATGTTTTTGTTTCAAAAATACCAATGTTATCCATAGAAAATAATGGCTTAGATTCAGGGCTCTTCTGGTGACCTAAAAATTGATGACATGTCCTCAGAGGTCTACTCTGTTGGGTTTGGTCATCCACATCACTTCTTTTAAGATTCTATGACCGAAGAGATTGATGGTCACAGTTGTTGCTCTTAGCATACGGCCAAACAATTGTGATAAGCCTCTCCAACATTCCAGTCATTTCAGCATCCATTTCCACTCTGCATAATTCCGTGGAATAAATGCTCGCAGCCTTTACATCATTAAAGGAAATAATCAGAGGAATGTTGATGTCTAGGAATTAAAACAGGGAAAAGAGAGCAGTTATTTTAATTGGAGTCTATGCAAATGTAATAAATGAATTCTCTGCCATGTGTTGCACTCTTAAAAGTGAAATCCACAGATTTCTCAAAATCTTTGCATAATTTAATGGTTGAGATGTAAGCAGTCATTCAAATTGGTTTAATGTGAAATGGTGCATCGTAGAGAAACATGACATAACATGGTGATAAGAAGCAGGAGTTCTAATATCTACAACAGAAATATAACCATTTTATGTACTATCCAGTATGACCAGCGAACCTACACATCTTCTGAATTTTTCTTTTTAATGTTGATAATAGTAAACTCTGTCACCACCGCTGTGAATAGTTCTGACTCAATACGTTTCTCTAGAATGGAGCATTTCACGTTTAACCACTCTGGAAATTGCTGGAATATCCCTTTAAATATAAATGTAATATGAGAGCATCAAAAAGGCTCATGTGGAGCAACATCATAGAACATTTGTGCCCAATCCTGGTCCTGGAGATCTACCACCCTATACCCTTCAGCTCCAGCCCTTATCAAACACAACTAATCCAGGTAATGAAGGCCTTCAGGGGCATCTGAATATTAGAGTCAAGTGTGTTGAATCTGCGCTTCTCGGGTGGTAGATCTTGAGGAACAGGATTGGGTACTCGGCATAGAAGAACTACTTTTGGTCCCCCTTTAAGAGCCTTTTAGTTGATGTCATGTTGGTAAATCAGGTGTATAAATTTGAAGACTTTTTAAGCTTAAAGAACCCTCACAAAATGTAAAAGGTGTATACAAAATAAATCAAATCAAAATACATCAAAAGGCAAGAACCAGTTAGGAACCTTTATTTTTAAAAGCGTAATGAAGAGATGCTGTTGTTCTAACTTTTCACTCCATTTAAATTATGGAGTTATGATTCCCTTTCAGTCTGCCTTTGGTTATTGATCATATCTTTAGAATTACTGAAGTATTTTTACGTTTGCCGTCAAGTTTAAAAGAACTGAGCACAGTATGTTCTGATACCTCCATACTACAGTTTAATTAAAGAGTTAAAGAGTCCTGCATGCCCAGTTTATGAAAACAGCAGCAGTTTTCAAAACATATCCATATAACTTCCATCTGGATAAGACTTTCAATAACTTTGTTTTCAGTGACTAAAAAGCCTGTTTTCTTGAGAAAATTCAGAGATAAAAAATACATTTTCAAAAATATACAGATACATGTGGATTGGGCCTAAAATCATTTGAATTCCCTGAATGTTCAGATTTGAGTCTGGCAGAGTGAATCTAAACAATACAGTTGTTTTCTAGTCTGAATATTCTCTAAACATTCAGTAGAGGACCTTGTGGCCTATGATGATGCAGCATGTTATTGTGCAGGACATCATGCAATACGATCCTTCATTCTATCTACTGTGCAGACTTGAGCTATGTCATCACTCAGTAGAACGGTGCCATTGATTCATGGGGTGGGCCACATGGGCAAGGCCAGTGGCCAATGGCCAAATTCTGAAATCTCCTGCAGTAGCCTATCAGCTTTCAGTTGGCCAGCCAGGCTCCCAGTCTGCTGGTCTGAAGCCATTTCCACCATGCATCCATTGATTTCTGCAGTGACTCCATACTAGATGTTTTAAATTATCTAGACAGGCTGAGTGCTTTAATAGTGAGCATCTTGTGTGTGCTGTACTAACAGAGCTTTTTCCTGCATGAGCCCACTTTGTATTTTTAAAGAATTTGTTTTGCACAGGCAGCAGTTCTTAGCAGTTATTAAACATTAAAAGGCCCATCTCATTGGAAAATGGATTTTCTTCACTTGTTTGAAATAAGAGTTGAATGTAGTGGGTAAACATGACAAAATATGAGCAGTGCTACAGACAAGCAAGCTAACAGTAACAGCGCACTGAACTGACATCACATGGAAGTAAATATTCTGCTGAATGTCAACACTTATGTATTAAAACCAGCTACTCAATCTGCAGTGTTAGCTTGCATGTAGCAGTATTCGTATTTTAGCTCCTTAATGACCTGATAATCAGGGAATCTGGAAAAATGTCCATACAGCAAAGTGTGTCAGCTCTGGAGTACTTTTTTGTCACAGGGCAAATTCATCATCTATTTTCAAAAATAGCATTTATTTCTTGCATTGATAAAACCAGCTTAGACCCGGAATTCCTAATATGGGCTTATTTAGCCTACAGCAGTTTAGCCCTGCCCATTCACACCAAACTGATGAGGAGTAAAACTGCTTTTTGAGTGAAGTGCAATACAGGGCAGCCAATCAGATTACAGGTCTTTTACATACAGCTGCTATCAGAAGAAAACCTCGTATCTCCACTGTTGTCATTTTTCAGTTTTTGACAATCTGAAAATGCCTGTTGACCTTTACATTGTGTGTAAATTTCATGATGAATGGACTAAAAGAAACGGCCCAAAATGACTTGGAAAAAAGTCTGGTTCCATTGACCTACATTAAAAGTAAAGTATGTTTTTTCCTTCTCCTGTAAAGTTACCATTTTGGACATGCAAGGTTTTCTTCCGACAACAGCGATATATGTCTTGCAGGAACAGTAACACAAAAGTCTGTTTGATTCTAAGGAATAAAAAGTGATTTGAAACTTTTTGCGTAAAAATGAATTGCGACTGTGTTTGGAATCCACTCAAATGTCATAGAAAAGTATAGTATATGTGTCCAACGTGACCCCACAAGATGCAAGATGCAATTTAACCTACTTCTACAGTGTATTCTTGAGTGCTGGAACCTGTGTTCAAGTGGGTTTCTGTGTTTGTTGTACCTTTCAAAAGCAGTTCTTTTTAACTATTTTGGCTGGTCTTTTGTCCTTATGGTATATGCTTGTGAATGCAGCGTATTGTACTGTCGTAACCAGAGCTTTTTATAGTGTCTCTTTATTCTGAAGTACTTTTCTTCCGCATATCTCTTCCTTTCCAGGATGGCTACTCACAGTATCACTTTGTTGGCTCTGCCTCAACAATAGAGAGGGACAGACAAAGACCTTATTCTTCCTCCCGCACACCCTCCATCTCTCCGGTTCGGACCTCCCCCAACAATCGATCAGGTGAGTTTGTTCCTTCTCCTCAAAGTCTCCAAATGTAGAGGAAATGGTTAATTAATTAAAACATCTTGAAAGTGTAGATTCTAAACTTTTAATTAATTTTTTAATTAATACCACATTTACATTTGTAAGTGGAAGAGGAATATTATGACTCAAATTTGATGAAGTTATTGTTGTGCGTAGTCTTGATTTGTAGTTTGAAAACAACTTTGTCATATTTATCATTTATTCACATAGAGACAAACAGGAAAAAGTGTAGATTCAAATGTAATTTGTAATTAACTTTGTTTTTGTATAGTAAAAGGATAGTAATAACTTTAGACATATAGGAGTTAATGCGAATGTGTCTGACCATCAGATCAATTGAATAGCCATCAACTGCCATTTTACAACAGGCCTCATGAAAATAACAGCTATTAGCTTTTCATTGGTACTCATGGTAGCATGTTTGGTCAAGCTGTTACTAATAAGGATACTATTGTGCCGCTGTCCGTGGTGCTGAAGCCTTAGAAAAGGATCTTAGTCGGTCAAGAATGAATGACATTCATTCATATCTTTGGCTTTGCTTCCTATTGAGAGTTTCTTTAAGGGCTGTGGTGATTAGATGGAAAGTCCAAGGTGCCTCTGTGAACCTAGCACAGCAGGTTAATGACCCTCACTGCTATAGGGGTGGGATTCATTGTCAGGTCAATGCCTGTAATGCCTTTTCCGGTGGGCTTAGCATCCTGATGAAGCAGAAAAGTGATTTTTTTTTTGCTGCAGTTGGCTTTTGGAAGTGATGCTGGAGGATCAGGCTGGGCTGTGGAGCAGAGAGACTGGGAGCTAATGGGAGTTTAAATGGCTGAAGCACAGACTCTGAATGATGCTGTAGACCTCAGTTGTATATTGGTGGGTGAGGCAGCCACTGGGTTATCTGTAGGATTGCACTAAATTCTGAGCCAGCAACAACCAGTCAGTCAAAGAACTTAGTCAAACAACTTAGACAGTCAAATCAATAACAGATGTACAGGGAAGGCAGGGTTATTTTTGCTATAAGCAGTATAAGCCGTCACCTATGCTATATTTATTTTATTTACATACACTGTTTAGTTTTTTAAATTTCCCTAGTGCCTGTGCATGCTCTGACACACACACCGTGAGCTTTTTCCGGTCTTTTAAAACACAGTGACCAATGTAAGTCTTTTTTACTGACTAAAATCACTGAAGAATTAATTCCTTTCCATTCCTGCATACAAAACAGGATGTCACTTAGGGCCACCAAACTTTCAGTAACAGCAAGGTAATGCTGGTTAAAATGCTAATCAAGGTGCACTGATTAATTTATTCACTACTTATCTAAATCAGACATGACGCTTATTGTAAATGGTGTTTAGCAGATATACTTATTGAAAATCACTGGTATACTCAGTGGTAGATAAATGTAGTGTTAGAAGTGTTAAGTCTCACTTGTATTGGTATGGGGGGGGGGTTGTTATCCATTATGCGCCATTTCAGCGAGCTGAAAAGGAAGGAAATGCGAACTATTAGTGACGATGCATGCATGAGCACACTTGAAGCAGTCAACTGTATTTCCATCATCAGACCGATAATAATAATAATAATAATCAAATTTTTCTTTTATCTGAAATTAATATAATCGGCTACCGATATTTTGTGCACCCCTAGTTATCTGGAATAGTTGTATATGGGACCATTGACATTGATTTTAAAGGTGGGCCCATCACAGCTTAATCATTGGATTCTCTTTCTACCTTTATGTTTAGAACGCCTTCTCTTTCTGTTTGATGATTTATTGATTATGTAGTGTGTGCAGGGTGGTCTGGGACATGATTAAAAAGAATTTGGTGTGTTTTTTTCATAACTGTGTTTTAGAATAATTTTACATTTTTGAAATTGGAAAATTATTTGAATTCTGCAATACCATCTGCAGCTGTCTTTTTCTAATTCTTACTTTAAAGTTATAATTCACTCAAATAATTAAAGTTTTCCGAAAAGAACTACTACTAATAATAATATTAATAACTAATTTCTAACAAATACTACTTAAAAATAAAGATTTTTTTATCTTGAATTTCAGAAATTACATATTACTTAACAATGAACATTTTTTTTAAGTTATCAGTTTGTAAACTATCAGTATGTTCAAGTCTGCATTCTCAGCTCTTTTACATTTGGTTCAATGTCCAGCAAAAATAAATAAAATAAAGAAAGAATTGTTTTTCTTGCCAGAAAAAAGTTTACTATCCACTTTCCACAGATTTTCAAGAAGCTATGAGTGATAAATAATTAATAAAAAAAAATCTTAAATGCTTTGGTTATTGTTAGTATAAAATGATTTTTAATAGCTGCTTTAAAAATATTTTTCAAAGTCCTTTCAGAATCGCAAATCTTTTAAAATGTTTATTGTATGAAGCTGCTGATATTAGACGCAGTGTCTGTTTCTCAGTTTTACTCCCTGCTGAGCTATTTTTCATAGAATCTTTAAAGTTGACAGAAATGTGCAGGTGGAGAAGCAAAAACATCAGCAGTGATACAAAGCTGCTCTTTATACATCATCAGAGGCAGCATCCACACTGCCTATTTAACATTTGATAAGACACACAAGAGCCTAGACCCAAAAGGGCCTTTTCAAAATCAACGTGCGCATTTAAATTAATTACATGCCACAGCACTGCAATTATTTCATGATGTCTTGACCTTGCCACAGTAGAAACGTATGTAATAGCTATTAATTTGTAATTGAGAATGCGAGTGACATGCGGTTCTCCAGTGATCTTATCATGAGCTTTGCCCCTCCCACATCTCACTGATAATAAGATGCTAAATACAGAAAGATGAGAGCAGCACTTGAATGAAGAAGAGTTGTGTTGTCCTCACAATTTAGTACTAAGCTAATTGACTGCTGATTATGAAAGCAGAGATGAATATTAAATGCATGTCTTTCATGCCGAGCTTCAGAGATGCTCATGTTTTCTCGGTGCATTACCAGTCTATGAACTTAAATTGAAAAGACGTCAGCTGTTTCTAAGTGTTGTATACACATTTATATTTAACATAAATGCAGTATAAACCTTAGAAATCGAAGTCAAGAAATGACAAAATGTGGCAATAATGTAAAGGATGTTTTTCATAGTGTTAAGAATTTTGGTAGGAAGACCAGCCAAAAATGAAGACGTGACAAAATAACACAAGAATAACACCAACTGTATCAGGAGGAATGATTATAATTCCATCTATGGCAAATCGGAGATCAACAACCTGTCTAAGAGCAGCTTGTACTATCTTGAGTTCTGTCTTCCCACATAAAGAACTTAGTTGCCATCCAATTCTTGATGTCTTGCGCACATTTTATGAATGATAAGGATATGAGAAAAGTTGCTGGTTGAGTGTTAAAGTAAATCTGGGTGTGATCAGAGGTGAAACTGCAGACCATGGTGACGATTAATAGAGGGGGAGAATTTAATTAATATGCCGAAGAGGATCCAAGACAGATCCCTGTGGAACACCTTGAGAGAGCATAATAGTATGTTATTTGTGTCGGCCTTTATAAATAAAGTGCTTTCTGTCAGTTAAGTAAGAGCTATACCAGGCAGTGTCACAGACATTACATGTCTTTCTCGTGCTCACTAGAAACGTTTTGACATTACCGCTTACTGGAGACTTAACAACAGCGCGATGGTAGCCTCAAGAACAAAATCCTCAAAAGTGTGGAGCAGTGCTGAGAATGATCCACCACCCAAATAGTACCTGCTCTGTGAGGGTCCACGGGGGTCCTGACCACTGAAGAACAGGGTAAAAGGGGGCTAACAAAGTATGCAGAGAAACAAATGAACTACAGTCTGTACCTGTAGAACTACAAAGTGCACCTATATAGTAAGTGGAGCTGATAAAATGGACAATGAGTGTAGAAACAAGGAGGTGGTCATAATGTTATGCCTGATCGGTGTATTATCAGAAAGCTCTACTTCTCTACCATGGAATTCAAAGTTTGTTCTTGTATTATACAGTTAAAGTTAAAGTTATTTAAGTTTAAACACAACGTGTTGCCAGGACAGCGTTTATCCTTTAAGGGATAAGTGAGCTATGAGTAAAAAGAAATTAGTTAAAAAATTACAACTGCAACTTCTAAGGCCTGACCGTGTCTAACACAAAGTTAAGAACATGGTAGAACATGAGAAGAATCAGGGCTTGCAATTGAGCAGTATATGGGACATGAGCACTCTCTCCACATAACTCCAGTACCAGTCAAGATACCAGCAAACAGTGATAGAAGTAAACAGCCAAACTGCTGAGCACACAAACCTTAGCAGAGGGGTGCAATAGAGCTGTTATCAGGGAGCCTAAATAGTTTGCCTCTTAGCCCCCCCAGAGAACAGCAGAATAAGCAGGAGATGTCTCCAAATTTAACCAGATATCCCTTTGTGGGGTACCTAGACACTCATAACAACGTTGCCTTGATATCCAAGCATTGCTGTGATGGGACAAGACTGTGGCCCACATGTCTAACTATCCCTTACTCTGCACAGAAGATGGAAGCTGTCCATTAATGGATGCCAGAGGTAGAAGGAAGGAAAAGTTCCATTCGAGAAAAGGGCCATGTACCATTAGGACAGGACAGACCTTTCCCCTGAAGCTTCTTCCCTCAAAAAATGTGCTCCCCGAAGAGTTATACCGAACCACTAACACAGACAGTCAGGATGCTAGCAGAAAGAGAGAGAGAGAGAGAGAGAGAGAGAGAGAGACAGAGAGCAAGAGTGATGAGGTTGTGCTACGAGGCTCTCGAGCCTTGTCAGTGAAACAGTGCCATCTAAAGTGAGTAGTTAAACAGAGCCAGACACTGTTTGTTCACTCCAGTTATTTTACCACTGAGCTTCATAAAGTCAGGGATTATAAAGAACTTAAAGAGGCATGCAACATCTGCAACATCTGCAACATCTTAGAAGAGAGATGTCAATCAGTTAAATACAAGTCTTTGGAATTAGATTGTTCTATATTAGAAAAAA